TAGCATTAAAAAGTCACATCTGGGCCATATCGGTTTCTGAGCCTAGCATTCTACTCCAGAAACACTTGCTGGGTGTTGTGTGGAATTTGCATCCCATGAGACCAATGCCAACTGTACAGACTCCAGGGATGAGGCGAGTGCAGAAGACATTCGCTGCTAAGTGTGATAACTGGAGGTGGAGTTCACGGAGAACACAGTTCTGTTCTTGTAACTGAATTAGGAGGACTTGACAATATAAACAATGGGAGTGTAAGTCTTATGTAGTGAACTAAATGACCCTACATTTTGCTCATTAGTCTCTCCCCGGGATGAACTTATCTATGTTTCTGAGCTCTGCACCTCTAGGGGACCCAGGGTAGGAAGTGTCATCTGTGCAGAGGAATAAATCCCTCTACTCTGCACAGGTGACTGCAAGTTTCAAAGGCGTTCAAGGTTATTGCTTTCTGAGAGTTGGCAGACAAGTGTGTTTGTTCACTGTACTCAACGCCCTTCATGTTTGACAGACAGTTCTTTGTGCCTCTGCTTAGCATGGGTCTTTCTGGGGAAGAAATCTTATCCTTTAAATCCCTGGTGTTCAGTCATGGCGGGCGTCCTTCTGCTCTTCTTGGGACCTTTTGTAGCTGGGATTCGACTGTCTGGAGCCACAGCAACCAGAACCAAGATTACACCCACACAGAATGGACAACCAAAACCAGACCTTCAGGAAAGGGACTACCGGAAGTAAAGGAAAGTGCAAGCAAATATTAAGAGAAACCCTGGAGAGATTAGTACTGTGTTAAAAATAAAATTATGTTAGTGAGCTTTATTGTAATAGTTGACAGAGTAGGGTTAGGAGAAATGGAAAACTTCTAAGCTGTTGAGTGTGTCCATCACATACAGAGTGAGAGCGAACTCGCTCGCCATCACAGCTCAGTGACTGGCCCTGTTTATCACTCCTACCTCGTCTCATTTACTTCTGCCTTGTTCACTCTCTCCCAGCCACACTGGCTTGCACACTGTTCTGCCTGGGCTCACACCAGCCCACTGACTCAGCCTGCATCCTTGCTGGGCCTTCTGACTGGACCACTGCCTCCATTTTCACTTGCTTTACTTCGGCTTTCTATCAAATGGTACTTCTGTAGGCCTGTCTTCTATAGCCAGTGGCCTCTCCTCCCTTTTCTACTTCCACGCCCGCTTTATTATCTTTCTCTGAACTTACATTACAACCTTTACTTACTGTCTTTTTCGAATAGGTGTCCCTCCTTGGAACATAAGTTCTGTGTGGGAAAAGACTTCAAAATAGTAATGGTTGAACTCTCCTCACAGCAGCTTAGTATATGACAGGCATAGGGTCAATGATATGCATGCATGCATATCTGGTAAAATGAGATGTTCTGGAACCAAATTGCCTTCTCTGTGCCTTTGGTCATGTGATCTAACTTCCGTGTGTACAGTTCCTTTGTTTGTAGATGGGATAATATAGTACCTGTTCAGAGTTATCTTTGAAACTGGGGCAATACATATAATATACTTAAAACAGTATTAAAAACCATGACCAGCATTTAATAGGAATATTATGACAGGATAATGAAAGGGGAAAAAGAAGACATACCACTGAGGCCTCTCAAGTCCTGGAAATTTCCATCAAAGGCAGGAGTGGTACTCCAGAGATTTTTCCTATGTCAAAAGGGCATGCTTCCAAGAACAGGGACACAATTACAAGGAAAACTTCCTAGGGGTTGGGGGAGGGAAGCACTATTTGTTTTTCAAGCTTCTGAAACACACACAGTATCTTCCATTTCCCACGGCAGCACAATTGCAAACAGTGTGCCTTTAAAGCTTAATGGCTGCTTTGGAGCACGCTTTCCAAAGCTTCCCAGCCTGGTATAGTAAGAACGCACCATTATGCACTGCAAAGAAGGGAACTGTGCTTCGAGTTCACATCCCAAAGGTATTCCCTACAAGCTCAGAGGTGAAAATTCTTTTATAAGCAGCCACATTTAATTATACATGCTTAGCATTGATTTTGAGGCTGTACAGTCGGTAATGGCTGTAAGTACTTTAAACAGTTTTAGCTTTTGGTTAGGAACTGCTGTTACGATTGGCCAGTGCAGAAATTATCCTACTTCTTAATCTTGTTAATATAAATATAGTTTAATAAATGCAAAGCAAGTAGAAGCAGTTTTGCTGAGAATCAGACTTAGGCTTGTGATCAATAGATACTGATGAAAGGTAAGGCGCTGCCAGGCCAAAGGGGAGCAGAGAGCTTCTTGGCAGAAGGTTTGGAAAGTACCAAACACTCTTTGCCCAGGTTCAGTGGCAGCTGCGGGGATCCTGTGGCCAATTACTTTTGGTTGGAGTCCACTGCCTTTGACACGAAGAGACAATGGCCCCAAACTCTTTCTGAAACAGGTTTTGCTATTTGCTAGCTAAAGAATATGGTGAGAGCTGGGCGGGGGAGGCGCAAGCCTTTAATCCCAGCACTCAGGGAGCAAGGGCAGGTGCATCTGTGTGAGTTCAAGGCCAGCTTGGTCTACATGTCGAGTTCCAGAACAGCCAGGGCTGTACAACACAGTGAAACCCTGTCTCGAAAACAAAAAACAAACAAACAGAATGTGGTGAGAAAGAATGCCCACAAGAAGCTCCTATAAGCTTCCCAGGAAGCACAACATTTAAAGTGGGAGAAGCTTGACATGGAGAGAGCCCCTTTTGCCCTCTGCAGGAAGCTCTGGGGAGGTAGGTTGGTGAACAACAGTGAATGCCACTATTTTGGCCACTGGACAATGCTTTTTGTCCCCTAAAGAGAAGGATTTAGTATATGACTGATTATTTCCTTTTTCTGCTCTCTGGGGGACAGAAAATTCATTTGTAGATGGAGCACAGCAAGGATGCAGGTCTGCAACCTGCTCATTCGACTCCTCTTTACCCCTCTGTTTACTTCCTGTCCTGATTACTCCTATTCTACTGAAATTTAAAACACGTAATTATTTAATTATATGCAGTAGTCTTAACTGTCTAAGATCTTTTACAAGATGTGATTGGTTTATTTTAATGATGTCTGTGCATGTCAAGCGTGTGTGTGTGTGTGTGTGTGTGTGTGTGTGTGTGTGTGTGTGTATGCTTGCTTGTATTATGTACATGTGGAGGCCAGAGGTTGGTGTTGGGCACCTTGCTCTGTGGTTTTTTTGGTCTTATTTGTTTTGAGCCAGCAGCTCTCACTGAACCTAGAGCTCACTGATGGAGGTAGGCTGGCCAGTCAATGAACCCCAGAACCAGCCTGCTCCCATGCCTACTCAGCCCTGTGGTTACATCTGTGCAGCCCTGTGTCGAGCTTTGATGGGGGTGCCGGAGATCTGAACTCAGGGCCTCACGCTCCCACAGCGAGTGCTCTACCCACTGAGCCATCTCCCCAGCCTTCCGCCTGTGACTTTCACGACAGCCTGCTGAGGGAAACATCATTATCATTCACTCTCTACAGACAGGGAAGCTGAAACTCCAAGATATGAAAGCTTTTCCAAGACCCAAATGTCATCTAATGTTCACTTTCTCCGTAGCACAATCCTGTTTCTGAAACAACTAAAAAATACCTTTCATTATGGTAACATCTCCAGGTAAGAGTCATTGCTGAATTAACAATGCTGAACTTTATTTTAAAGTGTTGTATGAATAAGCTAAAATATGTAGAAACTTTAAAAAGGAGTTAGGCTAGTAGGGAATTTTACCAATAATTATATGTGATTATAAAATTTTAGGCCATTAGAGGAAGACAAAGGAGTTTCTTTGATGAATTTTCTTATTCTGTATTCTAAAGAAAAAAGTACATGAAAAGGATAGAATTTAGATAAAGGTTTTGCTTGAAGGTTGGAGAATAGATTATTTGACCTATAGTGGATGAAAACGCTTTTGAAAACTCAGCCACAGCCAGACCTTCCTCACCACTCATTACAGCCCAGGTGATAGCTTTGATTCTGTCTCTAAGGTCATCAAGCTGGCCCTAATCCCAACAGTCCAGGCGACCATGCTGTGCTCTATCCCACACTGAGGTTGTTTCCGGGGCAATCGTCTGTGAAAAGAGCACCATATGGCCCTGGGGCACACATGACAACCAAGTTCAGAGAACACCGAGTCATGTTCATCACGAACTTCATTCTTCGGCCTTCTCTGCAGAATAGGGGCTCTTCTTTCTTTCGATGTCTGATGCAGGGAAGTGGCCTTCTGCCCAGGGATGGCAGCCAGGTGTGTCACATTGATGGTAAGAGAGGTGACCCACGAAATCAAAGCAGGGATTGTCTTCAAGTCCAAACACGATCGAAGCACAGTTTATCGAACGAAGCCATATATTTACTGCATTCTCCTGATGAGGTCTTCAGACTTCTAATTGCAGCAAATGTGGAAAATTCCCACACATTTGTTCTTTTGTTCTAAGGTGAGTGATCAAGTTAGAAATGACTAGGGCAATATCACCAATGAGAGATCCTATCTTGATGGCAGATTCAAAACCGGGGTTTGGAGACTAATTTTCTTCTACTCGGGATTAGCATATTGTTCTGAGTCATTTTCTCAAAGGCTTTCTGGGTCTTTGTAGAGAATGCTTGTTCAGTTAAGTCGGGAATGGATCACCTAAATTGTTTCTCTGCCCCTTACCCATTTCACTATTTCTGAACACCCGGATATGATGAATGAGAAGCCATTCAGGAGAAACAGGTTCATCTGTTGTGTGCTGAATAAGCTTTGAGTGAGTACTCTGAGATCTGAGGAGCTAGCTGCTGGACAGGATGAGAACCACGGGGTGCCTCATTCTTAGAGCCAGGGTCTGAATCTCAGGCTGGGTTTTCAGGATTCCCAACATCACAAGAGGCTGTAGTGAGTTGGTCCTGAGCATTCATATGTTAAACATTCATAGACCAACACCCTGAAGTCCTATGTGCTATTAGCAGAGGCAGTTCATTTTAAAAATAGCTCCCCTGGCTAGGTGCTCTATAAGCTTGGACCAGACAAGTACACTGACTTATCCAACTTGCCTGCTGTGAGGAGGGCTCTTCCTTCAGACTTTCATCCAGGTCCACACCAACTCTGTTAAAAAACAAAAAAACAGAAAGAACAGATAACCATACGTGTCCTGGTGCTGAGGAGATGAGATCTGGAGCATCGAATCATCAGCTGACCTAAACACAACGTAAACATGAGCAAAGGTTTGTCGGTAAACCGTCTGGCCTCCTCAGAAACAAAATCCACCATCGACCGATCCTGGAGAGACCCTGCACAGCTGTGCTCAGCACAGCAGGAGGAAGTGAGCGTCAACAATGACTTTCAGTCAGGAGTAAGGCCCTGAGAACTTGGGATAGGAGAGGGCACCACAAGAAAGACCTCTGTGGCTTAAAAACCAGGGTACCCCACAGGATTTGCTGAGTAAACTTCCCAGAATCCCAGGTCCCCAGCCAGGAGCAGGAATCTCTACGGCAGAGAAAAATCAAGCCTTGTCTAGTTTCATGTGGGCTGTCCACAGGGAAGGCCTAGGTTGTGGGGCCTGAAACTTAGATAATTTGGGGGTTAGGGTGGGAGCGTTCTTTAAGGAAATAATATAAAACACAACTATAGAACGTTCTAAGGAGACTCTTTAGAAAAGAAGAAATCACAAAAATTTTGTAGAGCTAGTAAATGCGGCCAATATCACATAATAATAATAACAACAATAAAATCCCACAGTTGTAATTAACTGTGTATCTCTAAAATCACCCTTTCCTCTGTAAAATTTGCTTGCATACTTTGATGTTTTCTTTATCTGATAATGACCTTATATTAGGGAGGATGGAAAGAAAAGGGAATCTTCCCCAGCTATCCTGAAATTGTTGCTAGCCAAGAGGAACTAAGGCGTGCTTCCTTTCCCAGACCGGCTTGCTCCATTCAGCACCGTTACGCTAATCCGCCAAATGCAAGATTCCTGATAAATTTCACTTCACGCAATTTCCATAAACAATGTGCAGTGTACTGATCTCTATGCATGCCTCCTAACTGAATACATTTCGCATCTCCATTTTGACAGGCATCAACGACAATCTTCCAGAATTGCTTCTGGCTTTGTGTATCTCATACAGTGTATCCTGGTCCTGTTACCCAACCCCCCCCCCCCCCCCATGCCACCTCTCCTACCCGGTACCCACAGGCCTTGGCTGCCAGGTGCTGAAGGCTATGTCCGCATTTAATGGAGCCTTTATGCTCAGTTTCTATACGCTTTTCCTACCCCAGGACGACCAGCAGTGACTCATACACACAGAAGTCACTGTGGCTAGTATAAATGTATCCCCCTCACTGCAAATGAAATACATGCCCACCTCAGGAGCTCCTGGGTTGGATCCTCCAAAGGCCCAGAGAGAAGAATAAGGACAAGTGAGGAGCTGTAGTAGACCGAACCAGCCCTTCAGTCTGTTTCAAACATTCTCCTCTCCAACATCTTACAGAAACACAGACCCTGGGAACACAATGCTGAGGTTCTTCCCAGGGTCCTGGAAGAGCCAGGGCAACTGAGGGGCTCTCATGATTACATTTCCTCTTCCATAGAGTGGGCCCCTGGGGTGGGGGTGGGGGGGTGGGCTGGGAGTGTGGGAGGAAGTGCTGAGGTCAGGCTCCAGCAGAGCCCCTTTAGCAGAAGGCTGCCTTTAGCAGATTTTCAGTCTTCGCTTCAACCTCTGCCTCTCTCAAACAGCTCCTGAGTCATCCTCCAGGCATCTGGCCCGGAGTGACCCCAGAGGTAGAAGTCTTCCTCAGAGCCCTGAGCTGGTAGCAGGACAACAGCCACGGTGAAGACGAGACCCGGAGACCTGCTTAAGATACCTAATTTCTGCAGATCAGAACCCCTCTGCTTGAGCAGCCAAAAGGGACAGCTCTTTATTGTCTCAACCTGTGGCATTCAGGCTGGTGGTGGACAGGGCTCCATGGTGGAGTGGACTAACATGTGATTTCTCCGCGGTAGAGTAGGAAAAAGTATTTTAACGATTTCGTTTAAGAAGGAGATGCGGGCACGCAGGGGTGGAGACAAGAGGTGGAAAAGAGGGAGAAAGGGAAGACAGACAGACGCAAGGGAGTGGGGGAGGGGCGAGAGAGTAGGAGGTAATTAAGGTGAGACGTCCTCCCCCCCAAGTCCAGCGCAGGCAGTGGCCACGGGGCGCGACCACAGGAGTCCCATACGTGGGCGCCCCGGCTGCCCTCTTCCCTGGGACTGGGGTACCCTCCCGCTGGGTTGGTGGAGCTGAGCCTTCCTACTCATGCCCGGAGTGCCTTTGATGCTCCATTTCAACAGCATCAGCCCCACCTGTCCCAGGGCTGCTGGGCCCCCGGGTAGGCTGCGAATTGGACTGAGATCCCCAAGCGTCCATGGCTACTTTGGGGCCTTTTTTTTCTCTAGTGCTTTGCTTGAAACACTGGAGAGAACAGAAATGGAATTTCCCAAGAAAGCCAGCTCTCAAGGAGGTGGGGCTGAGGGTTCTCACCCGAACCCGAGCATTTCCCCCAGCAGCAATCAAAGCAGACACTTCTAATCCCAATTATTCAGGCAGCCAGATGGATCTGAGGAAGGATGGCAGGCGATTAAGGGCTCTGGCTTCCTGTGTGCAAAGTGCCTCTCAGAGGCTTGGCTGGGAACAAAACACCGCCCCCCTCTCCACCTCAGCCCATTTCCGGCAGGAGGAGGTCTGTTTCCGGACAGGCTGCGGCTGGTCTTGGCCTAAAGCAGAGTGGGTATCTGAAGTGACTTGAAGCAAGTCAGAAGGCCGCCCTTCAGAGTCGTTTTCCGGGGGCAGCCTGGGTGAGCACCAGGGGAGCGAACAGAAATGGCCCCACATATATTTAGTTTGGAAGGTTTAATGAAAATAAAATTTAGAAAAAAAAGGGTAGTTAAGCGCTGTGAAGGGACAGCGTAAGAAACACCGGTCACTTGTTCACTTGAGACCTTGGCAATTCCTGGTTTAGAAAAAAAAATCTTGCTAAAATATATCGCTTGGCTTCCTGCCTCCTTAAACACAGGGTGCTAGGCTGTTCTCATTGTAACTAGGGGGCTCAGCATCACCTTTGGTCCCATAAAACCTAATGCTCGCCACTTTATAATGATTTCTGAGAGGTGTGCGAACCTCTTTATGGCCACATTAAATGTTCCCTGAATACTATTATTATTATTTTTTTTAAGTCTGCCAATTAGACTCCCTTGATTTCCTGGCTCCAGCAGTATGTCCGCATATTTTCTCTCTGTCATGTCCCCCGCCACGGCACCACTTTTTATTTAGTGGGACTAATAGCCTGATAATGAAATTGGACACATTTTTATTTTTAGGTTTATTATATAGTAACAAATTTTAAACATTGGACGAAGGTTTACAGAAACACTCGGTTGTTCGTTCTTACCTCACCCCATAGACCCTCAGCGTAACCCCCATATTGCCTCTCGGGGTGGTTTTCTGTGTTTCTCTTGGTGGTTGTATGTCATAGTGGGTATTGATGTGCATGGCATGCTCTCACAGCATCCCTGGGGCTGTGCAAACGGTCTGGCTATGTCTGTATCACTCACTCTTCTATTCAAGGAAGCAAACCAGAATGTGAAAGAGATGTATTTTCAGGCTAACCTTGCATCCACTCACTTTTATGCATTAGAGATCACTTAGACCCTATGGGTTTGGGAGAAATAAGACATGATGTCACCCTGGCTTGTGATGCCACACGTGTGCAGAGCAGCTCCCCAAGTGAAATCAAGGGTTTGTGGGATGAAGTCCGCCCTGCTCAAGCGATCCTAGAGACACCTTGACACCTCTCCCGCAGTCAGGGTTCCCGTCTGCCAGTCTGCCCTAGTGCCAGTACCTGATACTGCCTCTGAGCTCTAACTGTGTCCCGTTTCACCCATGCCTTTCTCGTGGCCTGGCTTCTTTCCTCCCGTCTCCAGGGTTGTTGTTTGGGCCACACTGCCTGCCTCTGGGCACCTGTGATGTCCTGCCTTCTTACGTGAGCTTTCAAATATGACTCTTCTTTCCCTGCCGTCTCCGTGGCTCCCCCGTCATGAGGCCTTCATGGGTCTCAGATTCCCTCTCCTAAAAGTTTCACCCTCTCTGGGTAAACTCCCCTCTAGTTGTAGTTCCTGTGTACCCCGAGATCACCTGCCTTTGTGTATGGTGACCCTGGCTTACCCTCTGTTCACCTGTGTGGCTCCACTGAGGTAGCGCTGCAGGACAACCTAGTGTTCTGTATGGTGATATTTTATTTGTGCTGAAATGTGATATTTTATTTGTCTGTTAATAAATAAAGTTTGCCTGGAGATCAGAGGTCACAGCCAGCCATAAAACAGAAGTCAGGTGGTGGTGGCACACACCTTTAAATCCGATCACATGGCAGGCAGAGTCTCTGTGTGTTCAAGGACACAGCCACGCGTGTTGACACAGGCCTTTAATCCCAGTACCAACCATAGAGACCTGGAGGTCTGTATAGGCAGGCAGTGACGAGGAAGTAAGGTGGCTGGGTTAAGAGCCAATGAGAAGGCAGAACAGCAATGCAATAAAGGTGCAGGTTAGACAGGAGGAGGCTCTCTTGGGAAGTGATGGGCGGTGTGGTGAGCTAAGGTTAGTTTGGTGGCTCTCACTATTGCTCTGATCTCTACGGCTTCACCCCTGTATTTGGCTCTGTGTTTCTTACTTAATAAGACTGATTAGAAATTCATCTACGGTTCTGTATTGTTTGCCAGCTCTCATTGGAGCCCATGACTCCAGGGCCACTCTTCAGCTGTGGAAGTATCGGTGCCACTCAGCTGTTGAGAGGGGCGGTCTGAAGTCAGACTGCCTGGGCTGGGACGCAAGGATCCATCTCTCAACTCATATGGCCTGGACCACGCACAGTGTCTTTGTTCAGTTTCCTTACTAGTACAAAGGGAGAGTTCTGCAATACTACTTCACTGAGTGATTATAGGGAGTGTTTCCTCAGAACTTGGTGCATAGAAAGCTCTTAAACGTTATCAGCTACTGTTGATATTAGTTTTTGCTATTATCAGTATCTTCTGTCAGTAGCACCAGAGTTCAGACTTGCCATGCCTGTTCTTACCA